CTCAACCCAGTATGTACGAATTTTAAATATCAAGATCTATAAAAATTTCTGAAAAATACAGGGTATTCCCGGTTGAACCCGGAAGTACATTATTAACAAAAACAATCACATCAGATGCATCTCGTTGCATTGTACTTGAATGCAAAGTTTCCTGGATTTCGTCCTTTTGGTTTCGAAGGTATTTACTTGGTTCCATTCTTCATTCCAGCCCCGTGAATGTTTCTGACTAAATATCTGTTCAATATTGGGTATCAGTTATATAATTCAAGGCAAACGCTCGAATGCTCAAACATAATATATCTACAATTTTTTTGCCCAAAAATTACGTCCACTATTGTATTGACGAATTAAATAACGTCGTGATTTATTGATGATTTTCATTTACTGGCATGAGTGCATTGGTTATAGAAAAATGTTTATTCACAAAATACTACTTCATAAAGATATTTCTTCATCAATTCATTGAACTATATCATACTTCAACAACTTTTATAGTTACAACAAAATCCACAGATGTCTCATTTTCCGATACCTAATTCTTTAATAAATGAAGAAAAGAGTACCCACCTGACTGATTACTTTTCCTCACAAGAACTGATCACACACGCCAATTATTATTCTTTCTTCAAAGTTCGATTTGGAAATGAAAAACTAATTCAAGTCATGTTGTTATATACATAAATAATGATTCATACAGGTAGATAACGATGGCACTGGCAAGTCAAAGAAGGGTATTGCGAAGAACTCTCATGAAGGGTATATTAACGGATTAAGGGAAATAACACAATTATAAATCATCATTTCAATATCCCATTTTGGATGAGGTGTTGGATAATTAAATAATACTTACCTCTAATGATTTTGAAAGATTTAATATAGTTGAAACTGTCTCTCCTACAATCGAAATGTGGTAATAATTATCATTGGAACTATTATTTTCTACTGTTAGATGGAAATCGTGATTCGAGTTTTTAATACTGTGAAGATTTTCGACATTGCTAATCATTGCCAATTTCTATAATTAGTCTGAAAACAGTGTTCAATCATAATTTAATCAATCGAGAAAGTGATTTTTAGTTGATGATTTACCACTAGTGGGTAATAGAATACGAAATAAGTGGATTATTGATTATAGTAAAACCAGTCAGGCAAACTCGACAGGCCCAGTCTGCACATCCTTACGTCGTCACCCTTGAAAAATGTCGTACAACACTGTATAGAACGGCTAAGCTTTGGAATAAAATTATTTGCCAATGAAAGTATTCCCATGACCTTATAACTTCCAAGAGTTCGAAAAGATTTCAACACCTACCTCCTCTCCTTGCCCTTCCTAGGTACGCGCGATGTTTCACGAACATTATAGGAATTACCTTTCGTTCGCTTCAAGAGATAGAAAAATGGAATCAATCATCCACGTAACGAGTTCGAAAAATACTGTTTTTTTGAGCAGGTAGGAAAGATGCCAAGACGAGTTATTCATGAGCTCTAAAAGTCTACGAATACAAAATTTTCGTTTCCAGACGTGTTGCCTGTACTATTTTTTTCGGACAAGCATAGAATAACAAATCATCGATACAAATATCCTTAGAAATCCTCATTCTGCTTTGAATCGAAACAACAACAATACAGAACATATATTGTATCTTCTGAAATCCGTTCCCCCCCTAATAATTTTTGAACCACTTGCAATATCGCAACGGAATTTGAAGGGCCCAAATAGGAGATGATAAAACTACTTTTCCATGAGGAAACGTAATCATCTTCTCATAGTTTTCAACATTTCCATTTATACACTACACTCCTGAATTCAATAGTTTTCGAAATAGTAAGTGAAATTTTTCCCACTTGATACTCATCGAAAACCTCGAATGATGCTTTCAATCAATTTTGCTTCGAATCGAGATGTCACCGCGACAACGAAATTTTTCCGATGCAAACTCAATTGTGAGCAACATCCGAGCTTTTGGTTTGGTTCAAAATGACCAAGATGTCACTTTTCAAATGTGAATATTTCGAAAACTATTGAGTTTGGTAGTGAAGTGTATTTGGTGGAAATTTGAGAATTATGAGAAGATTCCGAAAATAGAATAATATACGGCATGTTCCATTCGAAAAATAGGGGGAACGGATTTTGGACGTATAATTCTTAGATTAATCAAAATTTGATTATAATTTTGCTATTTTCATTCTGAATATCATCTTTCAATGATCTTCCTACTTTGGATACGGCATGGCGCACATGATATCAATCACGATTTATAATCTTCTACTGATAATCTATCGAAAAAATAGTCAAGAAAAATTGATAGTATAACAGGTCGAGAATTCATATCAAAATGATAAACCTGTTATGAAAATGAACGTCTCTGAGCATATTTTTTAAGATCATTGATTGAAAATGTATCCTTGTTGGTGAACCTCCCTGTATATTTCTCCATGAATGTCACATATATGATAACCAAAGAAACCGCCTTCAATACTGGTAATGAACATAACGGATTTCTTCGGATGCCATTAGGCTTGAAAATGCACCAGTCACGTTCCGGAAGGTTATGGATAATATTTTGCGTGGAATAAAAAACCAGAAAGGTCTTGTGCACCTCGATGATATAATCATTTTCCTACGAGCGTGCGCGAAGTAATACTTTTCCGCACTCAGTGCGGATATGGGTGTTACCCGCACGGCGTGCGGATAAGTTGAACTTCCCAAAAATCTCACTGGTATGGAACATTTGTATTCATTTTAGTTGCTGTGGAATGTTGTATGCACTATAAGAAGCCGTTATCCTTTCTACTTTTCAACCGTTCTTTCTGATATTTGTATTTCACGTCAATATAAATATTAGGAACGAATGATTTAATTTTTTATCATTATGTTTTATTGATATGTAATTGTTGTTTAATACTGTCTGTAGGTTAATCATTCATATGCCAACATCAGTTTGACACTGAAAAGTGTCAAACTATAAGCAGCACAACTTTCACAGAAAAATATTTTGCATGTACATGTTGAGAACAGGAGCATATTTGGCTCCGAAACGTCCAAAGATAAGTAAAATGAATGTAATTGTTTGTTATTTAGCTATTTTTATCAAGTTTCACTAAAAATCATTCAATTAATTGAGATTTAAGTTGACTTTTTTTTATTTTCGTTGTTATCTGATATGAAGCTTGTGGGGAAAAGGCGATTTTCTATTGTTATATATGTGATTGTGATATGTGATTGTTGAATAGTTACATTTTTTTTATTTTCCTTTCTATCTGATATGAAGCTCGTAGGAAAAACGTTGTTACTGACACGTGCGCAAAGTGTAATATCCGCACGCAAAAAGTTATTCGAACTCCGCTCCACGTCGCTCGCCTATAACTGTATTTGCGTGCGGAAAAGTAACACTTCGCGCACTTGTTAGGACAATATCTATTTCAGTATGAGTCTCCAAGTAGTCGTTCACGAGAGGTTCTCGAAAAACTACGAAATTCCAACTCTGAAATTTAGCTAGATATGTCAGAATTTATAAGAAAATAGGTGGCTTTTCTACGCCATGTTATGACCCCTGAATGTATTCGACCAAATCCTGACAAAATCAGAGCTTTCCAAAATTACCCATCACTGATAATTACTAAACAAATTGAGTGTTGCTCAAGATTATAAGAGTACTATAACCTTTGACAAAATGCTCTCAAAAATCCAGATTAGGTTGAATGTTTTGAAATGTGTATGAACTTGCTTATCAATTCGAGTAATGTTGCGATAAGAGTAGTTTATTCTCAGTGTAAAATCCGCTCAGACCTGCCTATAGCACCAGTGTTTACAGAGTTTACATAATAATCTGAATTTGCCAGTTTGAAAACCCCCCAGAAAACCGCTAAATTCAAATTAAATTAAAATTCATATCAACAAATAAAAATAAGGGTCCAGTACAATACTGTAATAAAAAATATTATGATGATAATTATTTTCAATTAATTGTACAACTCAGGTATGGAAAACATTTTCGAAAAAATACATATGGAAAAGAAATAAAATACTGAAAAATGTGTGAAGTAATATTTATGTTCAATTAAAACATTAATTACTCATAACATGCATCATAACAATAATTCATCTACCTAATACTAATATAGTACCTACACAAATATCACATGTGGAGCAGGTATAAGTAGGAACATGAATTAAACATAACTCTCTTTGGTCAGAACTAACATAAAATATTGGACAGATTCCAATAGATAAGGGCGCAAACCTTTTTTTAATACAGTACCTACACAAATATCACATGCGGAGCAGGTAAATATATTAAATAAACATAATTCTCTTTGGTCATGACTAACATAAAATATTGGACAGATTCCAAGGGATGAGGGTGCAAAACTTTTTTTTCAGTTCAGAAGATTCAGATCATCTAAGAGCTCATCATTTAATTGATCATTTAGATCATTGCTATTGTCACTCTTGTAACTTTTCATAACTGAACGAAATACATCAAGTGGAAAAATATAATCTTGGCAACATGTACCATTTCTTTTCAACCCAAACCTTATTAATTAAATATGTAGGGTTTTCAGAATCATTCGGTTTCTTAATTTATTCTTCATCAAATTCATTTGGCTGAAAACTCTTTCATCGTCAGCATTGGAATGTGGTAGAGTAAGCAATAAAAAAGTTAACTCGCACAAGTCTGCAAATGGATTGATCCCAGATGCATCCCTATAAAGATTAACTTCAGCCCAAAAACTGTTCGTATTCTCTACATTCTGACAGTTTACATCATTCAATTTACCCCACTGTCTTTCAATTTTGGATACTTTCATTGCATCAGAATAATATTCTGATGCCAAATCTGAAATCTGAATTTTGTTCAATTTGAGACACTCAGATACTGGAAAAAACTTAATTTTTTCAAAAATATTCATGTTTGAAGCCAACCTAGCGATAAGTTATTTCAATAATTTCACAAGAAATTTGAAACATATCTCCTTCAAGCCTTGTTTCACAATACCTTCTATGTTACTTTCTCTACAGGCTGACTTAAAACTGAATCCAAGATATGGATCAGGATCCAACATGGAGTCAATTTTAGTAGCAGACAATTTTAAAATTTCAACATTTCGTTGACGAAAATTGTTTATAACTGTATTTGCAACTGATTTAACCAAATTCATCAGATCTTCATGAAGTTTCAGGGGATCTGCTTGGGCTGATTCGAAGTTCTTGTTAACTCTCTGTACTTCATCCAGAACTGGTAGTAGAAAACTGAGGTATACCTGAATTGAAAACTATTAGCTATCCATAATTATAAATAGTTTTATAGCAACCTTATTATTTGGATCAGAGAAGTTTGAATGTATTATTTCTGCAGTATAACAAGCTTCTGTTATTCTAACAATTCCAAAATATGTCTTTAGTTCCAACCACTGGTTCAAGATTCTCTTAACAGCTGGTTCAATTGATATCCCTCTAGTTGAAAGCTGCAGTAGTTTCAGGGTTTTTTTGTCATCATTTATTAGCTTGTGAATGTTTGCATATGACAGTTGTCTGATAGAGGAATGTTGAAACCAATTGTAAGTTTCTTTAATTATGAAATCAATATTTCTTGGTAGAGTCTCTACAGTGGCAGCTGAAAGTGCTAGTTGCAACGAATGGCATACACACCTGACAAGGACCAAATTGTTCAAACCATATAAAGTTTTCAACTTTTGATACACCCCATTATTCACTCCTACCATCACTGATGCATTGTCAGTCCCTATTCCTGACAAATTCTTGATGTTCAACCCCAATTTGTTAAATAATTTAACTAAAGCATCAACTATGCTGTCAGCTGTTCCATTTTCCAACTCCAACAGCCCAAGATATGTTGAAATAACTGTTTTAGTGGCATTGCTGAAATATTTAATAACAACCCCCAACATTTTCATTACAGTTATATCTGTTGATTCATCAATGATCAAACTATATGGACCGCTGTCAATATCCGTCACTAGTTGTTGACTGAAATGTGGTCCCAGTGCATTACAAATAATGGCTGTACACTTTGTTCGATGTATCCTTATTGGGGTTGATGTAGCATCAACAAATTCTCTATTACAACACTCAGATAAGTGGTTTATGGACATTATTCAGGTATGTACAGCACAAAACATTGCCAAATTAGTTTCTGCCATAACTGTGGAAGTAATCTGGTTTTCACTTTTGAATTCAATTTTTTTTTTCGTCTCTGAGATGAAAATGGTTCTGCAGCTTTTCTATGCTTCCATCGTACAGCATGGCTCTTCAAATCTTTCAAGCGACATATTAGGGTTCATTTACAAAAACGGCAATATGCTTTATCCGGATAGTCTTTAGTAGGTTGTATCCAATCTTTCAGCTCAGGAATTTTTTCCCATGCACTTCGATAATGTTGAATATATTGGGGCTTGGGCATCATGCTGAAAGAGAAAAAAGTTACGAAAATTATAGATACAATATACCTAAGTTCTTACCATTCATGAATTTATGTAATTCCAATGCAACACCCAACACCTTTATTTTGATAATTCTGAAATTCTGATTTCTGAATTCTGAAGCTGAACCACTGTGGCTGAACCGTTATTGTGTTATGTTTGAAAGTTTCAAGACAATTGATTCATGATATTAGACATGTCGATTGTTGTCAATGTCAACATGTCAACTTCATTTATTTCAGTTCTGTGAAATATATACAGATGACGCATTGACGGGAAGGAGGAAAGATGGAACAAATTATCTTCGGAGCACGGGTCAAAGAATATTTCACATCAGAGTTCGAATGATTCTGTTTCAAGTTCCCGCGAGAAAACCCTCTGTATCATCACAAAACCCCCAGACTTTAGACATGTCTGAAATCATTAAAAGTTCACCTCTAGATGCATGCTACAAACGCCAGATTTAGCGGGAAAACCTCTGATTCGGCAACACTGTATAGCACACGCTAGCAGAACACTGAACGAATCCAAGCTACTAACTTCTCTAGAATAGGAAGAAAATTTAAAGCTGTTTGTGACCACAAACCGTTACTTCGACTAATTTCACTCAAGAGGCTATATACTCCCAGTGATGCCAACCTTTCAAAAACGTTTTCCCTACTCGGACCTATGAAAATTACCTACATTTGGAAAAAAATCCCTATTCATTTGAAATCAAATGAACCCTTACTTTTATATAGCTGATTTAGCAAATTTCAATTTTTCACTGATATTGAATATAAATTTCTGAGTTTGCATATAAACTTCAAATATGCTTTTTGAATCGAGTTGGGTGAAAAAAAAAAAATTAAAAATAGTTCAATTCAGTGGCTTTTAATAAAAAAAAAATGCTAGAAAAATCCACTCAAAAACGAAACAGCATTTTTTTCAAACAAGTCAACTAAAATAAGAGAATCTATTCCACAGGAACTTATTGCTACAAAGTAAGTATTCTTGACACATTGTTGTCATAACTAGGTACATCACAATAATATCACATCATGATAAATATCCTTATTTCCTAAGAAATTATGTTTACAGGAGGAACAATTTCATCACATTTATGTAACTATAATAATAATAATAACAAAAGTGTTATTAGGTTACCTACATAATTAATCACCTCGTTAATCACTTATGATCATACAGATTCTTGTATTTCATCAATTTATAGTGTGTATCATTACACTCAAAGCTCATACAATTGATATTTTTACCATTAAAAGATGTTCTAATAATACACATTGAATTCAAAACTTCATGACTGAGTTTATTCCTCTGTTTTGTACGAATATCTGTAACCAGAGAAAATATTCTTTCCGAATCTGCATTCGAATGGGGAATAGATAACATATGAGTTGCCAATTTTGTAAGATTAGGAAAAACTGGTTCATTATTGTAGTTGTAGTACTGGTTTTTCCTATCATGAACCAGAATTCATCCAAAGATAGTTTGAGCATTTTTTCCTTTTCATGTTTATCAAAATGATATGGCAAATCACGCCATTCTCGAATAATCTCATTTTAATTCAATTCATCACATTTATTCATAAGTAGCTCAAAATTTATGTTCCTATCTAAAGCTGCTTCCAGGGCGATTACTGGTTTCAAAAATTTGATATCAAATTATTTTTTTCAGCAATAGGTTATCTTTTTTGAATCTCTTCCAAGGTTACTATATAGAATTCCAAACAGTCTTTTCTAACTACCTGACATTCACTGTTAGGTAATTTTTCTAATATTGTAGCACAATCTAATCCTAGAAAAATATCTTCTAGTTTCATATAATTATGTGGGTGTCTTACAGTCATGTCAGTTTTCAGATATTGTGGTTTTATAAAATTCTGACCAGTTTCGAAAAATAATCCTCTTGATTCAGAGAACAACTCATGAACCAATGGTTTACTGGACTGGAACAAGGCATTCATAACATTAAAATATGCTAAAACATATTTTAGAAATGATAAATAGGATTTTGTACATAAGTTACTCATTTCATTGGGTACCTATCATCTCAGCTGATTTCAACTTATCTTCAAACACAGCAACCCTAAAATAATTGAGCAAAACATCGCAATATTCTAAGATTCTTTCCACACATCGTTGAAGGGATAACCATGATGACGTTTTCAATATCTGTTTCTCATCCATGTTGAATGATTCTTGGAATTCTTCTAGTTGTGAACATCTAAAATAGACAAAATGTATTCTCATTTTTGTGAAAACAAGTTTATTTTTACCTCTTCGAACTGCCAGATAAATATGTTGTGATTTGCCTCAATAACTCCTCTGGTCCTCTAGGTAATGCCATACAAGCCTTATCAGCCACTAAGGCAGAACTATGACATATGCATTTGATCAAAATCAAATTGGGATTTTCTCTGAGCAGCCGTGATGCAAAAGAATTTCTTTCTCCTACCATCACAGATGCACCATCACTGGCCATTCCGATGACATTTTTTAGTTGTATTTCATGGCTCAATAACAGATCACAGAATGAACTATACAGCGTTTCAGCGGAACAATCTTTCTAATCTAATGATGTACTAACAGAGCCATTTAATGTTTTCACATATCTTACCACTACACACATTGTTTTATTGAGAATGAGGTCAGTACTCTCATCTAGTAAGACTGAGAACTTTATCATCCTCAAAGTACTGATCAAATTCAATTTTTCATTTTCTGCAATAACATTCTTCACTATACTGGTACATTTTGTTCGGCCCAGATTGACAGTTTTCAAAATATCAGAGTCTGGGCAGATCTCTTTTAATAAAGGCAATAAATGTTCAATGACTTGGAATGCTACATTGTGTTCTGCAAAAAAAGCACTGAGCCGTATTTCAAAGTTTTTAACTTGTATGCTTGGCTCTCTTACTTCTTTGGGCTTGAAGTAATTTTTCAAGGCATTGTTGTTGCTTCTGATCAGAGACACTTTATCCTTGTGCTTTTTAGTTTCAGAATGTCGAATTATTACAGTTTTTCCACAGACTAAATACACATTGCAGGCTGAACATTTACACTTATATGAATCATTCTCATCTCCCTCCAACCAGCCCGCTAATGCAGGGTTTGTTAACCAGTCTTTGTTAAACTTTTGTTTCTTCCATTTGTTTGTATACTTTGCCTTTTTCGACTTGGATGGCCCTTGTTCTTGCTCATTATCTGCATCATCAGTATTATACTGGTTTTCTTCTGAAGACATTTCTTTTCTATAATTTTATTATAGAGTAGGTATAGAGTTCAAAGTGGTTCAAACTACAAAGTACAAATTATAATGAAACCACCAACTGACAAACCACTAAATTATTCCACAATCCACTTTCTACTTAGTATGTCCAAATGTCACTGTCACTAGTCTAGTGTCACTTGTCATAGCCACAGATCATAGAAATAGTAATAATCGACCGCTCCGAACTCTGAGCTCCGAACTGAACTCCTATCACAGGACACAGGCTCCTATTGACAGACCGTCTGCTTTTTTTAAATTCGAAGTTATCACGTTAGATACGCGTTAGATAGTCGTTGGTGGAATAAATACATTGTTCTCAAAGATGGATGCTTCATTCTAACACTTCTTGGAGATATGCAAGTACTAGAACATTCTCTTCGATTTCACTTTCGTCTACTCTTCGCATATATTTTTAATGAAGAATTCTGATACAAACGAATATTGTTTGAATAATTCTGATAAAAAATTTGAATATAACAGTTGACAGTTAATACAATGGATAGGCCAGACATGTCTCAAATTACCGAAGCTCTGTTTAATGAACTGCGTTGCCATGGTAACGTGTTTAATATTTCGAATAAATCACAGATCGACAATCCGTGATTAATCGATCATTTAGCATGGTACCTATCCGTACGCTGAATGCCATTTTAGTTATGTGAGTAGAAAAACATATATAATTAGAGTTGTTCCAAGAGGATAGGAGATAGTACTATACAAATTTTAATTTTCGTGCTAGATTTAGAATGAAGCGTATAATATTTGTCATTTGGAGGGAAATTGAAAATGCGAAAAGCTACTTTACACCTCAGCAGCTTTTCATTATCTACAAAGCGTAGATACGGCCTGTTCTAGAATACTGTTCGCACATATAGGGTTCAGCACCAAAACATACGCTGATGCTCTTAGATTCCATCCAGAGAAGAGCCATTCGCCTGGTGGGTGACGCCACACTCACTCACTCTTTGACACCATTGGAACACCGTAGAAAGGTCGGCGACTCTGCTATCATCCCTCCACTGGAAATACTAGTCAGACGAACTAGACAAGCCCAGTCAGCACATTCTTTCGTTGTCAACCTCGAAAGATGTCGAACAGCACTTTATCAAAACTCCTCCATCCATAGAACGGCTAGGCTCTGGAATTCACTGCCTGAGGAAGTATTCCCAACAACATACAATATCCAGAAGTTCAAAAAAAATTCCAATACCTACCTTCTGTGCCTATGCTCCCTAGGAACGCACGATGTTCTTCAAACGTTATAGGGATTTCCTTTCGTGCGCTCCAAGCGATTAAAAAAAAATTCAATGACATTTCGTAATACAAGATTATTTGTTGGGTCAAGCGCCCAGAGACGAACATTCTCACTTGAAGGTAGTCAATGGATTCATCAGGAGAGGAAATATTGGGGTTGTTGAATCTGGTGCGTCTCGCACGTTACTTGGTGGTAGAAAATTGATGTAGTGCGTGAGTAGGGTTTGCTTCTGGTTCGAAGCAAAACCACGGTTTAGTCGGTGACCAATCGCTGTGCCAGTATAGGTGTGGTTGAGCTTTCTGTATCTGTGGAACAGTTTGTTGGCAATAAAGAAATTTACTTCAATGTCAGCGAATTATGGTTTTGTATATGGCCAAATCAATGTAACTTAACAACAAACGAATTATTTGTTCGAAAATTTCAAATGAAATAATATTTTAATACTAACTTAATAATTTTCCACACAAAGAAACTGTTTTCAAGTTCAGTTTCATTAATGATGAAATTATATAACTACAAATATAATATAATTGATATTATAATTCAAGTTTACAGGGTGTATCTGAATAATACCGAAAAAATGAAGTCCATATAAACATGTATCCTAACTTGCTCCGTTTTTGATATACAGGATGTTGAAGTTGAAAGTATTAATTGTTTTTATTTATAACCTCCCTGTATAAGCTTTCATGGTGCCAAAATTCAGTATAGTTGGAGACTGAGAAAGCCCTAAAATTTCAAAATGATTGTGATTGGGGTTATTGAGTTATCTCAATGGTAGTCTTGAAGACACCTTCAGTAAAATTTGGAGTCAAATCGAATTTTTATTGTTTTCTCAAAAAATAAGCTAGATACAAAAATTACACAAAGGATCAAGAAGTTGTTATTTCAATAGTTCAATCCAATAAAAATATGAAACTCAGTAGAACACGTGAAGTACAATGACATTCACTATAAATATCGATAAATTTTTTCACTGTGACGCCACTGGAAATATTATTCCGAATCTAATTTCACCAGAAGAAGCTCCAAATTACTATTAACAAAACCACAACTTTTTATTGAAATTGATGAAAAGACAATTGAGTAATTGAATAAAAAACGATTTTTCATGGAAATATTGATACCCTGTATCTCGAAAACGAAGCAAGTTAGGACACATGTCCATATGAACTTTATTTCCTAAAATATCACAAGGAATCGGCCGTTGAATTTTTTCGGTGTTATTCAGATATCTTACAATTACTTGAATATTTTTTCAAATAATGAGAAATGTGTGATTAGAATGTTAAATAATTTAATATAATTGAATGTTCTGTTAGTAATCTGAAATGGAGTATATCTCACGATTGATTATATCATTTGATGAAAGTCAAGAAATGATGATAATGATAATGAATATTTCCTTAGTTTAATCTAATATATAAAATTCTCCTGTCCCGGTCACGGTGTTAGTGGCCAAACTCCTCCGAAAGGGCTCGACCGATTCGTATGAAATATTTTGTGCGTATTCGGTAGGTATGAGAATCAGTCCTAATCTATTTTTTGAATCAGAAATTCAAGATGGCGGATCCAGTATGACGGACGAGTTTTGTAATTATAGTCAAATTGATATCTATGAGTTTCGAGGTCGGAGACTATGATTTCTCCATCGTAATTAGGGAATTCAGAATGGCGGATCCAATATGGCGGACGAGTTTTGTAACTATGGTCAGATCCCATTCTTAATTGGTATCTGGGGGTTTTCGAGGTCAGAGATTATGATTTTTCATCAAAATCAGGAAATTCCAAATGGCGGATCCAATATGGCGGACGAGTTTTGTAATCATGATGCAAATATATCAAAGATTGGTATCTGCGGGTTTGTGGAGTCGGAGATGATGGTTGGTTCTTCAAAATTTGGAAATTCAAAATGGCGGAATCAATTAATTTGTAATTATATGTTGCGAGCGGTCAGGCTGGGAAAGGGTCTTGAATATGTATTCTTAATATATAATTCTAACTGATAATTATATAATTTTTGTAATAAAACACTGCATTTTCATTATATTGATTTACTCAAAAACTTCATACCTTCTAAGTTCTTTACAACCATCATCTCATCATAAAGATTAAAAGTCTCTCTGACATATGTGACATACATGACGTTGACACTTCTGACATGACTTAATTGACATATGAATGAAGTATACACAGAACCACCTACACCATAACTAAACTAGAACTACCAGCAGAGAATATTTTAGCGATATACTTCATACCCCCCCTCGCTAAAATCTCTAAGACCTAAATTACCTGGATTTTTAATTAGAGCAATACAACCTTGATTATACTCATAATAAGTTATAGTTTGAATATCTAAATCAAAATCCAATAAAAGTTTCTTTATCCACAATCCCTCACTAACTGAGCTACAAAGTGCTACTAATTCAGACTCAGTAGAAGATAAGGTTACACAATTTTGTTTCTTCGTTGCCCAATGTATCGAATTCCCAAATAATTTAAAAAGGAAACCAGTAACTGATTTTCTGTCAATGGAGTCATTCCCCCAATCTGCATCAACATAACATACTAAATTATTGTCCGCTTTTCTTCTTATTTCTATTCCTACGTTACAAGTCTTACTTAAATATCTAAGTACTCTCTTCAGATATACCCAAGTCTCATCAGTCGCTCTATCTTGGTACCTACTGAAATAATTTAATGCATAGCAAATATCAGGTCTTGTTCCTCGTACTAAGTACATGAGACAACCAACTAATTGTCTAAAAGGCTTGTCTGTCAATATATCATTATTTGAAATATTTATGCTTAGTTTTGGATCTATAGGTGTATCCTTACTCTTACAATCCTTCATATTGAATTTAGTTAAAACTTTTTCTATATATTTTGATTGGCATAAATTCAGAATTCCTAAATCCCTCTTATAATCCACTTCCATACCTAGAAAATACTTAAGTTCTCCTTTATCCTTAATTTCAAATTTGTTCATCAAATCTTTTATCACATTATCAATTCTCTGTAAATCAGCACCAGCTATCAAAATATCGTCAACATATAAAATCAAGTATATCTTAGAACTTTCAGAATTCAAACTATAAAAACAATAATCATTTTCAGATCTAATAAATCCCATGTTGATCAGAAAATTGTTTATTTCAGTGTTCCAACATTTTGAAGACTGTTTTAATCCATATAATGACTTATTTAATTTCAACACCTGTCCACTATTAATCTTTAGTCCTTCAGGAGGGTAAATATAAATTTCCTCTTCTAACTTTGCATGTAGGAATGCAGTTTTAACATCCAGTTGCCTAAAATAATATCCATACTGATTTCCAATGGTTAATAATATTCTGATAGTAGTCATTCGAGCCACTGGTGAATATACCTCATCATATCCTAACATACCCTCTTGTGCAAAACCGCGAACTACTAATCTAGCCTTATACTTGTCTCTTTCTTTCTCTTCTCCTGATTTAAAAGTATAGACCCATTTTGTATCTAAAATCTTTCTATTTTTAGGTTCATTTACTATATTCCAAGTATTATTATTTTTGATAGACTCTAATTCTCTCTTCATTGCTTCTTCCCATTTTCCTCTATCTGTTCTGTATTCTAACTCCTTAAATTTTTGTGGTACTTCATCTACATATCGCATTGCATCAAAGGCCATATACAACTCATAGTCACCAAATCTTACTGGACGTTTTATTTC